CGCTTCCCCGCCCCTCCCTCGCTCCCCTCTGTCCCCGGGGATCAAACAGAAGCAGCCGTGGGCAAAATACAATTTCATTTAACAAATTGAATTTGCTGCGCCTGCTAATCACGTCTGGTGTCGGCTCTGATCAGAGACAGAGAGAGGAGGCTGCAGCCCCCCGGGGTCCTTGTGGTGGTGGGAGGGCAGGGAGGTGCACGTTGAGGGAGACGAATCACTGCTTGGCCCAGGGGACCCTCCCACGTAATAGAAACTCAGGGCAGGTTGGCATTTTATTAGATAAAACAGGGAGGAGGGTGCCTATCCACCCCTTCCACTGGCTCAGAAGGGTACTTACTCCTCCCTCCCAAGAAAGCAGGAGTCTCTAACACTCATAAGGCAGAGGGTGAGAGGAGAAAGTTCCCGGCCCTCCTGTTAAGGCTTGCTACCAAAAAATAAGATCTCAGCTACGAATTCTGGGAAGGGGAACCTTCCCCCAAACAGAAAGGCTTCCGCGTCCAGTGGCCCAGGTATGGGGGAGGAAACTTCCAGTCTGTGAGCCTCATTTCTCAGGTGCTTCAATGCTCATCAAAACCAGGCATGGGGAAAGCCCTGGCAAACTGCTCCACCCGTTGCCGGAGGTCGGCCAGACGCTGACGTGTTTCTGGGTCCTTGAGCAGGAAAGATTTGAAATCCTGGAGCTTGGCTAGAAAGAGGTGAGGGAAAAAAAGTGATCAGAGCTCCAGAGAAGGCAGTGAGATAGGCTGGGGGAGGAAGAAGACAGTCGGGGAGGAGGGCTGGCACCGGGTCTCTCTCACCCACTCACCAGTCTTGCTCTTCACCTCTAAGCCAATTTTGACCCCTTCATCTATGAAGTGCACAACTCTTCGGAAGTCATCCTCACGGAACTGTCGAGAGGTCAAGGCCGGGGCCCCTGGGGGAGAGGGAGGATGAGGACTGCCCAAGCCTACCTGGCAGCCACTGGGTGTGGGCACCCCATCCCTCCTCGAAGCCCAGGTCTCACCAAGCCGCAGGCCCCCAGGCGTGATGGCACTTCGGTCTCCAGGACAGGTGTTCTTGTTGGCAGTGATGGACACAAGCTCCAGCACCCGCTCGGCCCGAGCACCATCCAGGCCCTTGGGCCGCAGGTCCATCAGCACCAGGTGGTTGTCAGTGCCACCTAGGGGGGTTATTGGAGCATGGTGAGTGCTGGGCCTCTGCCTCAAGCTACAGAGGCCCTCACCCATCCCCCAGCTCACCAGACACCAGCGAGTAGCCTCGCTCTAGCAGGGCATCAGCCATGGCCCGCGCATTCTTCAGAACCTGCAGGGAGTACTCCCGGAACATGGGGGTGCAGGCCTGGAGAGGAGACAGCAGCACCTGTGACCCCAGGGCTAGACCCCCTGGCATCCTGCCCCTTTGCCCCAGCATAGGTCTATGACCCCAGCCTTGACCCCTTCCACCCCAACATCAGCTAGCAAGCTACAAGGTCTATGGCTCCAGGTCAGTGCTCCCACTGCCCCATGGGGACAGGCCCCCCGACCTGCTTTAGGGCCACAGCTACTGCAGCAATGGCATGGTTGTGGGGGCCCCCCTGCAGGGATGGGAACACAGCAAAGTTGATTCGGTCCTCATATGTGTAAGGGATCTCCCGGCCAGTCTTGGGGTCCACAGCCCGCACCCCCTTCCGGTAGAAGATGAGTCCTGACCTGTGTGGGAGGTAGGTGGTCAGAATCTAAGCCGAAAAGAAGGATGAGGGATGGGGACAGCAGAGGATGTGAGCTGGCTAGGGTCCCCAAGGGCCACCTCAGAGTCTACCTCGGCTGGGCTCAGCACACTGGAGTCCAGTGATGGAGGACATACAGCCCCTCACTGCCACCCCCAATCCCCCTACCAGGGGATGGCCATCATGGGCAAGAGAAGATTTATTGCAGACTGGGTAGAAGTCTTTAGGGCACGGGTGGGAATGAATTACTCTGAGATTCAGCCCACGGTGCCCAAGAATAGGGCATGAAGGTGGGGAAGGGCAGGCCCAGCCTCAGGGGAGCCTGACCTGGCCCCTCGAAGCGTCTTGTGGGTGGTGGTGGTGACAATGTCCGCATGCTTGAAGGGCGAGGGGATCACCTTGGCAGCTACCAGGCCACTGATGTGGGCCATGTCTGCCAGTAGGTGTGCCTTGACCTCATCACACACCTGAGCAGGTACAGAGACAGGCCTCAGCCTAGAGAGGGCCCAGACAGGGCTACCGAAGGCTATCCCTCCTCCCAGACCTCCCCTGACCCCCTGGGGAGGTGCCCAGTACTCCAGCCACACCAACCTCTCTCATTCGGGCGTAGTCAATGAGGCGGGCATAGGCACTGGTGCCAGCTATGATAAGCCGTGGCCGGAAAAGTCGAGCTGTCAGTGCCAGCTGGTCATAGTCGATGAGGCCGGTTTGGGGCTGGACAGAAACACAAACAGCTAAAGCCCTGAGAAGGAAGTGGGGCAGCTCACTCTCCTCCTTGGCCCTCTGGCCTGCGCAGGATGCCAGCCCTTCATTGTCCCCAGAAGAGGACCACCAAGCCTGGAGCAACCTCCTTCCCACACCTGAGAGCACTCACACTGAGCTTATAGGGGCAGGGACTGGAAGACGATAGAGATGGCTGAGAGCCCTCACCGTCCCAGGAGAAGACCACCAGGCCCGGGGCGGCCCCATTCCCACACCCTGGAGCACTCACATTGAGCTTATAGGGCATAGACTCAAAGAAGATGGAGGTGGCTGAGATCCGCTTGACATCAGACATGTAGCCGTGAGTGAGGCTAGGAGGTGAGAGGAAGGAGGGAGGTCTCAGAGAGGAAGAACCCAGACTCAACCACTCACTTCAGGCTCCACTGGTTCCGCCCCTGGATGCTGGTCCCAGCATGCCCTCTCCATTGGCCTGAGCACTCTGGCTGGGCCTGGTGTTGCACTCGGCTTCCTCATCCACTACTGCATCCACGTGGCCACAGGGCACATTCGATGTACAACTCCCTTCCCATACCAACACCACCCCCGGGTCCACCATCCACCCCCTCATACTCACTGGCCCCCATCGGGCAGGTCCAGCCCCATGATCCGGTCATGAGGCTGCAGAAGGGCCGTGTAGGCGGCCAGATTGGCCGGGGACCCAGAGTAGGGCTGGACATTGACTCCCCACTGAGCAGGGTCCAGGTCAAAGGCTTCCAGGGCCCGGTGCTGGCATAGCAATTCGATCTCATCCACCACCTCTGCTCCTCCATAATATCTACGTGGGAGAGGGGGACGTAAGGGTACAGGGGCAGGACCAGCAGCAGAGGACTGGGAAGGCCACTCCTCAGCAAACACCAGGAGGGTCCAGGCAGGTCCCCCTTGGGAGCACCGTCCCGGATGCTGCCCCGGCCCTCTGGTGCCTAGCCCTCACCTCTTGCCAGGATAACCCTCCGAGTACTTGTTGTTCAGACAGGACCCCAGGGCCTCCAGCGCAGCTCGGCTGCAGAAGTTCTGGGGTGGAGGGGGGCGATGTCAGAAGGTATTGCGCTGCCTCCCCTGGACTCCCACAGCCCACCCTGCCGGAGCCCCACAGGCTGTAGGGGGCTGAGCTCCACAGAGAGCTCAGTTCACTCACGCCTCCAGGCCACGAGCAGAGCAGAGCAGAGCAGAGGCGGCATTCTCAGAAGCCCAGCCACCATGCGGGGTGTCCCCAGCAAGGCCACCTGCCCACTCAAACTTGTGCTTCTCAACTCCTTTTTCCTCTTGGGAAGGAGAGACCAGACAAGACTGTCAGGGCCCTGGAAGCTCCCTAGTGCCCCAGCCCCATTAACTGGACTGGCCCTGCCTTTGCTTCAGAGGCTAGGAAGAAAAGGAGATACAGCCCAGCAGAAAGGCTCTAAGTCTGAAAGGGAGATCTGGAGAAATATCAAGTGACTTGTTACTTCCTGCACTGGCAGTGGCCCCGCCGTGGCCCTCTCCCCAGGTCCCACCTCTGAGGCAATGAGCTCCAGGCCACGACACTGCCTGTCCTTCTCTCTCTGTAGCAGCTCCCACATCTCAGGGTCACTGTCCGACAGACTCTCCTGGCCTGTCCAGCCCCCAGTGGCTTCCCCAGTGTGAGTTTGGGCCGCCTCGCTGTGCTGAGCCCGAGTGGCCATCCGGACCAGCTGACCGCATCTCTGCAGAGGCTGGAGGCAGCAAAAGCCAGGGTCAAATAAAAATGATCCAGGCAAATGATCTCCCAGTCCCCCTCGGCCATGCCTACAGGGCCCTCTGGCTCCACCCCAGCTGCTAGTTGTCCAGTCAGCCTGTTCCAGTTCTCCCCCCCACCTCCACCTTTAGACACCAGTCCTAGAGCCAAGGGTAAGATCAACGTCCAGGGGGTGGTTCTGATTTGCCCCATTTCACAATCTCCCCCCACCTGCTCCTTGAGCCACTCTGCAAAGTCACAGGGCAAAGCTTTCTCTCCAGAAGACCCATGTCTCCTAAACTCCAGAGGGGCCGCTGGGATTCCAGAAACTCCCCACCCACGACCTTCCCGCAGGGCCTCTATAAACTGATGCCCCAGGCAAAGGAGAAGAGGCAGGAGGTGGCAGGGGTTAAGGCCGCAGGCCGAAGAGGTAGTTTCCAGAGCAGTGGAGGTGGGAAGAGAGAACTTCAGCAGTCCCTGGGGAAGAGCTGTGTGTGGTGGGGGAGGGGGCCATAGGAGAGTATCTGCCCGCAGGGAAGACAAAACTCATACCCTCTCCCCTTTGCCCCCACCCTTTCCACCTCCCGCTGCCCGGGACCCCTGTCTGATGCAAGCAGTGGGGGTCGGTTGCATCATCTGCCTGGCTCAGAGCTGCGGGAAAAGCCCAGCTAGTGGGTTCAGGCGGAGAGCCCCGCTCCTTCCCCAGCACAGGGTCCGCGGGGCATCCGGAAAGGTCCTCGCCCCTAATGCCACGTGAAATGGGCGGTCACAAGGCCCTGGGGCCTCTGATCGCCAGGATAGGAGAGGACCCCCAGTTCACCCCACGCGCGCCCAGGGGTCTCAGGGATTCCCTAGTTACGCGTCCGCTACCTGAGGCCCCAGACCACGTGTCTGGAAAAGCCAAGAGAACCCCAGAGTTTGCGAATGGGAACTGAGGTAGGAGGGGGGCTTCCTTTCCACTCGTTACCCAGTCTCTAGAGCCCCATTCTTACCCGAGCCGTCCAGAGCAAAGAGAAGGGGAGCATAGCAACCCGAAGTCGCCGGAGGTTCAGTCACCAACTCTGGCCGGGGGCAGCAGGCAGGCGGAAGAAGACCGGTCAGAGAGCGCATGCGCGCGAGCAGCGCCCCAAGAAACCAGAGCTAAGGGGAGGGGCCTACGCATGCGTGCTGGTGACCCGTCCGTCGCCTTTCGGGAATTGTAGTTTCTTCCCTCGTCTTTCGTCTCATTTGCCCATCTGTAGCTCCAGGGTTAGAGGCCGTTGTCCCAAAAAAAAGAGATCCAGTGCCACCTTATCGCCTCACTGCCCTGAAGCGTTCCAGGGATTTTTCCCCGGTCGGTTGTCAAGACAAGCGTTTACTGGATGCCTACTAAATATCCAGCATTATTTAGACTCCCTGGGAGATACAGACTCTTAGACCAGATGGAGAGCTGTGGTGCACTGGAAAGCACCCTGGTTTGGAAGAGTGAGACACTGAATTCAAGTTCTGGCTCTGAGACTAACTAGCATGTTAGCTTGTGTGAGCCTCAGTTTCTTACTTGTAAAGCCATACGATAGTGTGTGGTGGGGAGTCAACGAGAATTTTCAACTATGCCTTGGGATAAATTGTCCTCCCCCTCTTCCTCTGACCCATAAACCTGCTTCCTCCATGGTCATCTCCTCCTCCTTTGGGAGCAGGGGGAGGTGTCCCCACCTGTTGTTGCACCTGTTGCATTTTGTTACCTGTTGACCTCTTGATGTCCGAGCAGTCAGTGGGCTCTTTAAACCCAGGGCTATAGATTCTTTTAGCCTGACTTTGTCTTTTAGCCTGACTTTGTCCCCTTGGGGAGTGGGACTCTCTGACCCCTCCAGGAGCAGGTTCCCAAACTTGGGATTCAGAGTGAGTTGGAAAATATGATAGAAATATGAGTGTGAGCTGGGTGCGGTGGCTCATGCCTGTAATCCCAGCACTTTGGGAGGTGGAGGCAAGATGATTTCCTGAGCCCACAGGTTCAAGACCAGCTTGGGCAACATGGTGAGACCTGGTCTCTACAGTAAGTCAAAAAACTAGCTGGGTGTGGTGGTGCACGCCTGTAGTTCCAGCTACTTGGAAGGCTGAGGTGGAAGGATCGCCTAAGCCCAGCAGGTTGGGGCTGCAGTGACCTTGAGCATGCCACTGCGCTTCAGCCTGGGCAACAGAGTGAGACCTACTAAAAAAAAAAAAAAGTAATATGAGTGTGGGCCAGGCATGCTGGTGCACGCCTGTAGTCCCAGCTACTCGGGAGACTGAGGCAGGAGGATCACCTGAGTCCAGGAGTTCGAGGCTGCAGTGAACTATGATTGCACCACCGCACTCCAGCCTGGGTGGACTCTGACTCAGAAAATAAAGAAATAAATAAATAGTAGCGTGGGGCTTCTCCTCAGAGGTGCTAATTCAATGGATCTCCCAAGAGTGGGCACTTGTCTCCTTAAGCTGTCACACAAGCAGACTGCTCCTCAGCAGTTCTGATCAGCAGTGGTCTTGAGAACCATTGCCTTACATAGCAATGTGACACACTCCTTCATTCCACAGACATACTGAGCTCCTACTTCATGCCAGGCGTGTCATAGCCCTGGAGATATATGAAGAGCTCACTGACGGCTGGGGCGTCAAGAGGTGAACAAAATTTGACAAGTGCAGGTAACAAAATCCGACAAGTGCAATAACAGGCAGGGGCACCTCACTCTGCTCTCAGATGTCCAAATAGGAGTCGGAGGAGGAGTCGGAGGAGGAGAAGGAGGAGATGATGACCATGGAAGGAGCAGGTTTGTGAGTCAGAGGAGAAGGTGGATGACAGCCCCTCACAGAGCATGTTCGCAGGAAGAATCTCCTCGAATCCCCACCACACGCTATTTTACCACGGCTTTACAAGTGGGGAAACTGAGGCCCAGGTAGGCTAACTTGCTAATTCCAGCCATCCCCACCCGGCTCTCACACCAGGTCTCAGGAGTCCCCTCTTGGCTGGAACCCCCTTTCCCCCCGCGCACTGAAGCTTCAGCCTTTCTCAGGCGTCCCAGCCACAGGCCTGGGGTCAGGAGACCTCCAGGTCCTCCTTTCTCCAGTCCCTGACCCAGAACCACTCCCACCTCCCTCCTCCTTTCAGTTGATTCTGTTATTCATCCAGCCAGCCAGCCAGCAGGTATTTATTTTCTGCTTACACTTTTCGCTCCCAGACATGTCTGGGTCAGACCCCTCTCTGACTCCGCTGTTCGCGCGGGAGCCGGTGGGCAGAACACCGCCCTCTCCCAGGGAGCTCCTCCACCCGGGACTCCAGGCGAAGACCAGGAGTTCCTCGGTGCCTCAGCTTGTCCACGCCCCCTCCCTCGCCCCAAGCCGGGGGTCCCCAGGGGAGGGGGGCGGCCGAGCTGAGAACTGTTAATGAAGCCGCAGCCAATTAACGCCCGGGCC